ACCCCTCCTTGGGTTTCCGAGGCAGTATCACTACGGAAGTAGGATTGCCCAACCTTCCTTCCGAGGAGTGGCTGGTGGGTTTGAACCGTCAGCCTTCTGGTTAGCAGTCAAGTGCCTTAGGCACTATGCTACCAGAGCTCCCAGATTGCCCATTAGCAACCTTGAAATCATTTATGATCATATGAACTTCACATACAAAAGATACAACATCTTTTCCACATTTTTCTTCTAATTTGAGGATCAACAGTGAGTAACAAGCCAAAAGCAAGGTCTTAGATCACTCTTAATGAACAAAACATTATATTAACAGGCTCCATATGCTTCAGAGTAACCTGAATTTAGGACACATGAGTAACTGGTAGCCTCCATTTAGGTCTCCAAAGTCTGAAATTTTCTAATCATATCCAAGTTAAGAATAATCTTATTTTATGGCTACAGAAGCCACAGAGGCAGGAATAGTAGGGTAGAGACTTTCCCAACTCCTATATTTGGAAATGATGTGGCATCTTCACTTACTTGTTTTAACTTATCCAACACAGTGAGATCTTTAAATTATAGATTAACCATGATTCCTGTTGTCTAAGAGCTTATCTATATCCATATATACGTATATGTTTTTCTTGTTAGTGTGAGGAAGAGAGGGAGAGCAAAAGCAGAAAGTGATGGATAAAGTTTGGACACTTACATGGCAGACAGGGAACATAGCTGCCTGGTGCCACTGAGTGATGTTTTCCTTTCCTTCCCCATGAGAAGGAAGGACCCCTTCCCTGCCTAAATCTCCATAAGCCTGCACTCTGCAGGCAGAAATGCTCAATTCTCCTTTTCAATCACTTTCAAATAGAATGTCACAAATTTCAATGTGCTTTAGCTCCCTTACCATAATTTTCTCTCCAACTCCAGGAACTACAACAATCTCCAAATGCAGGTGATTTTAAATAACCTTTGTCTTCCTTTGGGTATTAATCCCTCAACTCAGGAACCTTATTGAGCAAGAGAGCAATTAACTCCTGGGTGTAATTGTTCCTTAGAAATGAGAGAGAAAAAAGAAAGAGAGAGAAAAGAGAACACATTTAAAAATGAAATATTTTATAAGATTTTCTTTTGTAAAATTACTTCAGGGGGATAATAATTTTAAAATAATTGATTTGGCACACATATCACCCTTATTTCTTGTATATTTTTCTGTTTATTAATCTTTTATGTGCAGGTATTGTCTTTATAAATAAAGTGTTATTTTGTTTAATGTTGACCATGTAGTATTGTCGTTTAGTATTGACTTACAGCAAACAATAATAACTGAGGTAGATCAGACAATTAAAAAATCGATGAAAAACTAAGCCCATGGAGTGTTAGAAAGTAGGGACCTCAGCAATGAAAATTTATGAAGTAGTTTCAGGGCTGTTATAGAACAAAAGGGAAGAGTATGCTTGAAATTAAAACTAAAAAGCTTTTATTGAGAGGCAAAGCAATTTGCAAATTGAGGGTCACAAGGAGTCTGAAAGACATCCAAGGAGGAGACTGTTCAGAGAGTTTTTATTAGAAAATACTCTAAATTCACTGCCGTGGAGTTGCATCCAACTCATAGCAACCCCTCCTTGGGTTTCTGAGGTGGTATCACTACAGAAGTAGATTACTCAATAAGGAACTTCAAAATTCAGTGATTGGTTGAAGTTTAGGTAATGGCTACAAAATTGGGTGATGGTCCATGTGATTGGTAGGAAACTGCATACATTTCTAAATTTTTTTTTTTTTTTAAGTTACAAATGAATAGATAACCAAACTGAGTACATACACACAATGGAATAGTATATAACCCTAGAGAATAATGTAGAATCTGCAAAATATCTCATAATGTAGAAAAAAATCAGAGTACATTATTCTGAGTGAAATCAGTGAGTCATAGAAGGACAAGTCTGTTATTATAAGAAATCAAGGAAAGGTTTATCTATGGAGGAAAACATCCTTTATTGGTTACTGGGGATAAAAGGAGAGGGGAAGGAAAATTACTAGATAGGTAAGAGATGAGTATTGCTTTGGGTGAAGGGAAAGACAATATGCCAAAAGAGAGTGACCAACACAACACTAAGGAAAAGGAAGATGCAGAGAGGTACATGAGAAGAACAGACAATAAAGATAAATACCTTTACATACACAATAGTGCATTATCAGTAATAACAAGCATTGATCTACATGTTGATACATAGGTAGAGGCTAAATGATCAGGTATGTCTGGGGAGAAGGAACATACCCATGACGATATAGGTCATTGCCAGATGATATTTCTACACATACATTTGTATGTGCTATAACAATGTCCATATATATAACAGAGCTAACAAGGTGCAAAGCTAAAATAACTTCTTAGCCACAGCCAAACACTGAGGGAATAAGTAACTGGGCCTATGGGTCCAAGCTCAATTGGCATAACATACTACACAAAAAAAATTGTTCTACATCCTACTTTAGTGAGTAGTGACTGGGGTCTTAAAAGCTTGCAAGCAGCTATTTAAGAGGCAACAATTGGTTTCTCCTCATCTGGAGCGAGGAAGAATGAAGAAAAACAAAGACACATAGAAATAGTTAGTCCAATGGACTAATGGGCCATGTGAACCTTGGCCTTCATGAGCCTGAGACCAAAAGAACTAAATGGTACTTAGATACTGCTGTGAACCACTTGGAAAGGGATCAGTTTAGGAGATCCTGGATAGAGTGGGAGAAATTTGTGGAATAAAACTCAAAATCATGGGGGAAAAAAAAAGACAAGGCTTGCTTATCAGAGAGAGATGAATGAAACCCCTGAGACTATGGTCCCTAGTCACCCTTTAGGCCTGGAATTGAATTCACTCCCCTGGCTTCCAGCCATCCAATAGACAGGTGTATAAGGTGAACATTTACATCAAGTAGGTACGCTCCTTAGAGCAAGTAACCATGGGAGATCAAAAGGGCAGTATTTTCATTGGGAGACAGCTTACAGGGCAGGAATGCATAAGAAAGAAGGACACAGGGCAAAGGTAAGCACAGGGAAGAACTAGGAAAAGAGTTGTTACTTGATGGGGATTGCAATCAATGTTAGGAAACAAAATGTGTATGAACTATTGTATGGAAAATGAATTTGTTCTGTAATCTTTCATCCAAATTACAATTAAAAAAAAATAAAAAAAGAAGAAGAACTAGAAAGATGAGATTTAGGGAGAAAAAAAAAAGAGTACATCTGGCTTTGAAACAATCACGAGACCCTCCTTGCCTGACTGCAGGGAGAACATGCCTCATTCTAAAGTTTATTTTGAGTAAGCATCTGTTCTGAGAATTGTTTTGGACTTTGTTTTCTAAGCAGCAAGCAAACAAAGTTTCCTTAAGCAAACAAAATGCCATTGTTCTTTCAAATTGTTTACCCAGTAATTTTCACAGAGTGTAGTGGATAGTTACAGGAATGAAGGCTACATTCTTGATGCAGAGGCTACTGTTGATTAAAAATGGAGTTTTAGCCTCAGACCTTAGCATAGGCACCATCTCATGTTGGAAGGTCTGAGTTAACTTGCAATGTTCTTACTGCTATCAGATAATTTAGCCTCAGTTGCTTTTTCTTTCTGTGGGCCTCAGCTCAAGATTCAATCTGATTTCCTTGGTTGAGTCATATGTCTATGGCCAGGGTACAAGACATGATTGGGAAGAGATGGGCAGTGCCCCAATGGGTAGAAGAAAGCACTATTGTCAGGAGAAAGGGGAAAGAAATAGACTGAGAGACTAAACATAATTTCAAGCTATTACTGAAATATCAGTCTTTATACTACTTGTTGTTGTTGTTGTTATGTACCGTCGAGTTGGCACTGACTCATAGAGACCCCTTCCTTGAGTTTCTGAGGTGGTATCACTATGGAAGTAGATTGCCCAACCTTCCTTCTGAGGAGTGGCTGGTGGCTTTGAACTTCTAGCCTTCTGGTTAGCAGTCAAAGCTTCCAAGTTAAATCCCTTGCATTCTCAATAAACTTTTGTATGGGAGTGGCTTACCCAATTTTTCCATCAAGGCATTCATTCATTTGTTTATTTATAGATAAAAGCATTCATTTGTTAAATAATATGTGTTGAATACCAAATATATGTCAGGGATTAATTATTTGCCAGGAGAGAAAAAGTATAGTCCCTCTGATCAAGAAATACAGAGTCCATCAGGGAGAAAAGAGTATTTATAATCTTATTTAAACC